TATATTCTATTGTCCTCAACCAAACTGTAAATCCCTTCCATGAGAAAAAAGGACATTTCTTTTGAATATCCCTAGGAAAGTGCTTTTTAGATCTTCCAACTTCATATTCCAGCAAAATTTAAAAGAGAGGAAACCAGCCTTTTGGGGGCTGGTCAAATGTGAACATTAATTATCATTGGGGTACCTATTTGGCTCTGTCTCTCTTGATCCGATTTCACATGGTTTCAGCAAGTACACCAAACTGTAATAAAACAGTGTAGCTTGTTGAACAGGGAAGGGAGGGGAGCTAGACAAATCTATTTCCTGTTGTTTGAGCAGATACTGAGAAAACTCAGGATTTGCTGGCAGCCATATTTTCCATTAAGAGGACTAGGAAGTGGTCCTGTGCAACAAAAAAAAAAATGAAGCAAATACATAGTGAGGAATAAAGAGATGAAGGGTATCATGTTGGCGCTGCAGTCTCCAACTTTTGGATTCCATTCCCTGCTCTTTCAATCTCATCTCTTGCCTAAACCGGTTAGAAGGATTTGTTACTTACAGCCAAAAGTAGTCTATTTATTAGAATTACCATCTACTAATACCATTTCAAAAAAGAATATTAACATCAATACCTCAGGAAGGACAGAACGTCAGATTTTTAAAAAAGGATATTCATTTAATGACAACTCTGTGCCAGGAACAGATTTAAGTCCTTGAAATACAGGGATAAAAAAAGATAAAATTACTGTTTTCATGGGGCTTATACATTCTAGTGAGAGTATACAGACAATAATATTAAAGTATAATTTCAGATAGTGATAAACGGTTTGCAGAAAAAAAAACTTTAGGTAATGGCATTGAGGAAATGAGGATACTGCCATTCAGAAAAGGGTGGTTAGATAATACTGCTTGTCTAAGAAGGTAATATCTGAACTGAAACCTGAAATGATGAAAAGGAGCCAGTCATGTAATGTTTTAGGAAGAGAATTTCAAGCAAACGGAATGGTCCTAAGTTAGGAACAAACTATGACATTTCTGAGGGACAAAAAAGAAGGGCATGTATATGGGGTACAGTGAACAAGGAGGATGTTAAAGAGGTGATAAAGGAGTAACAGACCTAAAAGGAAACAATGCAAGATGAAGTTAGTAGGGATCAGATCACATACAGCAACTAGTAGGCACTGGAGATTTGAAAATAATTTGAGCTTTATGAAAAATCACTGTATTATCTTTAACTCTCGTTTTGCTTTGCACCAGTGATTTACTTTACCAGAGAGGCCTTCAGAAATTGCCCTCCCGAAGTATTTGATACAATCCTAAAGTTAGTTAGTAATGAACATTTGCTATGTGGAAAGTATCTCTTTTGGTATACTATAAATATTAAGAAGACAGAAGAAGAAAGGAGGAGGAGGGAAGAGGGGGAAGGAGGAGAAATTATTATTCTTAGGACAGAAGCAAAGCCATCTTAAAGGAAGAATAATCCAGGATGACAGGATGACAGAAACTTTCAAATTCTATCCTGTTTATTATGTTAATGAATGTGCTAGATCAAATACAGAGCATGAAAACTTAAGTTCTATTTACTGTAAACATAGTATCTTTTACTTATTGAACTCACTATTATTGAGCTAGACATTAGAAAGGTTAAAACTATCAGAAGAAAAAAGTGGAAACCAAACTTCTGACTTCATTTTACCTCCTATGAGTCACAGTTTAATAGCCAAGAAAGTTGTGTGTTTTAGTCTTATATTATGATAAAGGAAAAACTTCCCCTATGTGGTGAAATTAGGTACAAGAGATGCTTCAATATCTCCTGCTCTGAAAGCTTTTTAAAATAGTAGACCAATCTGTTTACAGAGGTTTGGACATAGTACACCTCGAGGAAGAGTGAAGTTCTCTCCAGATCTTTTCAGACAACTAATATCTGTGTATAATTAAACCTACATTGCTTCTAAAATTAATGTCAGTAAAGTCACATCTTTGAAAGCTCTAATGTATTCATGAATCTCCTCTTTCACCATATTAGATATTTAGTTAACCAACTTAATGGTAGACCAAAAAGAAGACTGTTAATAACACAATCTATAAAGAGTTGTACTTTGTGAATGTGGCGTGAGTTAAAGAAATAAAAGTCATTAGACATCTTGATCAAGACTTGCTTCTGAGTGCATCCTCAACACATTTCCAGCAGTTCGGCAACGTGCCCGGGGATGATTAGCAGCCAGTGTAACTGAGGGAGGGACATGGTCAAGCTAATTGTAAAGTCTCCCCCCAGTGGTCATATACAAATAAAAGGAAACGTGGGGAAATTACTGTAGCTTCTGTGAGAATGACCAAAAACACTATGCAGGACCTGGTCCCTACAACAAAGAAATAAAATTCACATAGTAGCACATCAGTAAAGAGATCTCCCATGCTTATCTACTCTTATGACATTCATAAATGTGAAGACTAACTTTGGAAGGAAAGAACCTATAGGCAATGCAAACTAGCATCATTTTTTAAGGAATAACTTAATATCCTCAGATAGCCCAGTATTTGTTTTATTCTAATGGGTAGGTATCATTCTTCCTGAAATAATATCAGCATATCCTTTGCAAGTTAACTACATTTATCTTAAGTAGTGATACAAGTTTAGTCCCTTACCAAATGAATCACCCTGGAAAAGAAAATTATCGGTATTATATACCTAATGTCTAGTTTACAAAATACTCTTTAAAAATCCACCTAGAACTAGGTGATTTATGATTTAGTAAATGATGTCAAAAGTACAAATGCGTCCTCTTGCCTCAAGAAAATGTTTATTTTCTTGGTGTTTTTATAATTAGATAGCCTTTGACTAGCACCAATTCTGTTTGTCTTTCCAACTCTCAGCAATAATTTGCTGATGTTACTTGTAGCTTGGATGTAAAAAATGTGAAAGGCATTTAATTAAAACATCTGCTGTCTTCTACTAATCATCCATTATTAAATGGCATAGTATATAAAGGGATCGTTAATAATCAACTTCAATTTCAAAACAGCTTTTTAAAAAGGTGACACATACAGAGTCTCACAATTATGATTTTCTTGGTTCTCCTAACCTAAAAAGAAGGGGAGAGGGGAAGGAGGGAGAGGTGTAGTCTTCTGGAAGAATTTCAGCTTGAAATGAGACTCAGAAAAAAACCAAACTGCTCCCTCCAATGTTTAAGAAATATGATTCATTTTTTAAAAATCCAACAGTTGGCTTAGAGAACAAAAAATGATTCTTATACAGAGCTACCAGACTTGCTTAAGCACCTTAATTTTTCCAGTGTTTATTTTATTGAGAATGTAAAATAATCGCCTTTGAAATTCTAGGTGAGAAAGGAACTGAGTGATAGGAATTAGAAGTTAAGTGCACACACACACACACCTGAATATTTATTCATAAAGGTATTCAGTGTGCAACCTCTATAGGACAAAAGAGAGCCATTAAAAGTGTTACCATTTGTGTATTATGTAACTCTAGTCTAAAATAAAAGAAACACGGGCCCCAAAAAGTAACCGCAATCATACTGTGCAAACATGTATTTAAACGTGTTTATAAGACAGATTTCAGATACAAATGACCTCAAAATGACACAACCCACAGAAGTTGTTTACTTTGATAAGGCTTCAGAGGACTTGACCATAATCAGGCCCGATAACCTTTATCATACTTGCACAGTAGATGCCTAAAATAAGCCATAATACCTGAGGTCCGTTGTTATACCTATATACCGCAACTGTCTCTGCACTGATAACACTGGGTTACTTCACCGAATATACTCGACATACCCAAGTTTCCAAACGACCATTTTAAAGATTTCACTGGCAGAAATGGCTGCTAAATCCTACTCCACTTGGGCATTTTTAACGCACCTCAAAGGTTCCGAGCCATATTTACGAGAAGACCAATTCAGGAAGCATAAAGTAAAATTCCACGAATCCCCAAAGGCGTAGGAAAGAGTGAAACGTGGCTAGCTTGACCTTAACAGGCTGTTCATAAGTAATGCGGAGAATTTTCTGAGCTTCCCCATCAGCCTTCAATTCCCTTCCTCTCCCGCCCCCAACCTCACTTACAGAAATGCATTCCGCAACTGATGGAAGTTTAATGGATGTAATCTCCAGATGTAATCCCAGGAGTTTGAGATTGAGACTAATCCCAGCGAAGAGCGAGACTAAACTCCCAATAAAGTGGTAAGAAGTCTTGCAAAAATACCCACCAACCAATCCATATCCTGTCGTCAATACCAACCGTCTGATCCCTCAAGCGACTCCCTCCTGGCCTCCCCCCACCACCACCACCGCCACCCCCAACCAAAAAGGCCCCAGCACCTTTCGGGTTCCAGATAAATGTACCCTGGGCTGGAAAACACCGCCTCGGCAGAGAACGCCTCCGCAGCAGCGTGTGCTTGGCCCACAACCACTTTGACCAAACAGCCAGAGCCTCGTGCCTAGGAAGTAGCAGTAGTTGCGGAAAGCCTCCTCCCGCAAGAACTCGGAGCTCGAGAGCAAGCCAGAAGCCGGTGGATCACCCCCTCTCGGGACTGACCCCAGAGGTGTCAGTCACAGCAACTACCGCCCCCGGCGCGGCTCTCCATTCCCGCTTTAGCGCCATTCCCGCCGCAGAGGGGTCGGCGCCTGCGCCCGGAGGGGATCCCGTGCCCCCAGCCCCAGTCCCCCCAGGCCCGGCCGCGCCAGCGAGCGCGTGGGGACAGCCAGGCGCGGCGGCCGGCAGCATGGGCCGGGCACGTTGCCGCGCTCCGGCCCGCCCGCACCCCGGAGCCAGGGGCCCGGCAAAGCGCGCCTCTTTCGCGCGGGCAGGGCCGGAGCGCCGAGCAGCGCCCTCCTCCGCGCCGCCCCGGCCCCCCGCCCGCCTGAGCCAGGTGCCGAGGGGGCGGGGCGGGCCGGGGTCCCCGCGTGGCGCTCGGCGACGAGCAACAGGGCGGCCCCCACCCCGGCCGGCCTCGGCGAGCGGAGACCGTTACCCGAGCGGCGTGGGGGCCCCAGCAACTCACCGGCTTGCACCTCGGCCGCCTCCGCGCCGCCGCCGCCGCTGCTCTCCTTCAGCCGCAGGCGCCGCCGAGCAGCCCCATCTACAAACTCGGGGCTCGTAGTTGGGAATTGGACCTGCGGCTCACTCCCCTCTGCCTGCCTCTCCGCCCGCCCCCTCCCTCTCGCCCCGCTCCGCCCCGGCTCCAGCCGCCGCCGCCACAGCGCGCGGCCAGCCTCTCCTCTTCGCCCGCCTCCTCCACCGCCTCCCGCTCCCGCCGCCGCCGGGGCGCGCTCCCTCCCGGCCTCGCGCGTGCGCCGGACGCCGTGGAGCGCGCGCTCGGGCGCGAGGAGGCGCCACCGCCTCGGGGAAGCCGGGCCCCGCCCCTCCGGCCGCGGCGCGGCGGCCAGGTGGAGCCCCCTTCCGCGCGCCGCCCGCACCCCGAGGCTGATCCTGCGGTCTTGCCGTCCTGGCCCCGAGCTGAACTCGCGACAGGGTCCGTCAGACCCAGATCGCGCCGGGTCTTCCAGGCCGAAAATGCCGCTGTCATTCAGCGTTTACTGATGGGCAACATACTCCCCGGGGCATACATAACAGAGGCTCCTGCCTGCCCTTCCCGAGAGTTACATTCAAAGAACCCAGTCTTGGGGCACAAAGACCTCGGAAAAAATGCCTCTGGAAAATCTCCCTCCCCATGCGCACACACCCCTGGATCTGATGTGTAGTTGGCAGGTTCTACAGCGCTGCCCGTGTCCTTCATGAATTATCTCCCAAAAGCCCAACCAGGGAGTGTGATTCACACCCGGGGAAATAAATGGACACCATCTCTCTCCCAGCACCGAGGCTCCTGGAACTCCCAGAGCCCGCTCAGCCAGATACTCCCAGGACACCAGTTGTTCGGCATCTCCCAAACATCTGGCCTTCCCAGACTTCAGAAGGGGGACTAAGTCCCCTTCCACCTCCACTCTGCTTAGAGTATGGTGAACTGTGATAGGTGTCCGGGTGTGCAGTTTACACATTTTGACGGGAGCACAGATTCAGTTCTTCACTTGAAAGGACCTGAGCAATGCACTGCAGCAGGGGCTCCGACTAGAAAAGCACAGCAAGGCAATCAGAGAATTTCCCATTCCCGGAACATTTACCTGATCCCCATAGATCTCCGTGAACCCTCAGACCTGTGAGGGGGCTTTTGGGAAAGCTGTTGTGTTCTTCCTAAAATTGAAGAAACTGATGTTGTTATTTAAATTGTACAAAATGTTGACTGCAGTCTTTTCAAACCGTGAATGTAGAAAGTGGAAGAACTTGTCATGTGTGGAATGGCACATCAGGTGGCTTCCTCTATGCAGCCTTCCCTGGCTTCTCTTGGGCATTGCACAGTCTTGCACAAACCAGGCATTTGATAAATGTTTGCTGAATGAATGAGTGCATCATGTGACTTTGGATTCAGAGATGGAGTTTCAAGCTATATCTCCTGCCTCTTTGCCAGAGTGGTTAGCATGGTGGGAGGCAGGGCGTGGGGGCAGAGAATTCTACAGATGAGGTGTATTAAGAAGGGTGACTCTAAAACAGTGATTTTTCTCCTTAGCCTCAACCAAGCATCAGAGATGAATTTACCTTTCCAATAGGATCATTAATTTTGCAAACCTAAATGCAGGGGAAGTTTGTGTAGTATTATTTAGAACTTTCTTTCCTTAGAACAACAAGCCTGAAGAAGAGAAATTGGAAGCATTTAAGGAGACCTGAATGTACTAAGGCACATGCAGCTGGCCCTGTTCCTAGGGTCAGACGAGCTGGATGAAATGAAGTACAGTGTGCCATGTGCCCAAGAGTGAGGCAAGATGGAGGAGGAATGGAAGAATGAGGTTTCTCTTTTCAGAGAATCAGCATAACTTTCAGGTCTTCCTTTTTGCTTTCCACAGGATACCCAGAGGCTTGTTTCTGCTCAGGGCTGTGAACTTTTATTCTCTTTGCCCTTCTGAAGCCCAACCTCACCATACTACCTCCTACCCAGCCAGTTCCCTGAGATCCTCTAGGGAAGAGGGGGTGAATGTCATTTCTGGGTGTATTCCTGATCCATTATAGTGCACTTTTATTTTCTCAAGGGTCTTCTGGGAACAATGTCCTAACCTCCTACTCAACCACAACTCCCTACAAATCAGGCGAAGTTAACTGAGAAAATTTTGGGAAGGGAGAGTCAGGGGAGTCTTTGCCCCTCAAATTGTAACATATAGACCTCCCTGATTTACATTTAGGACCAGTCCTGGTCTTCCTTATCCCTGAGTGTGTGCACCAGAGACCCGGCATTTGGATTTAGGAATACAGGAACAATTGCCTTTCATTTACAGTCCCAAGTCTGTTCTCTAAATAATGACAGCAGTTATTAGATGGACATTTATCACAGTTGTAAGACTCAGCCTCAGAGCCAGAAAAATGATTTTGCTCCACAAATATCTTCAATTGCTTTTCTTCAGATGCTCTTGCCAGTTAACTTTTCCTTCGGTATCTACTTTTATCAAGTAATCATATACAGGTTATATTATGACATGCTACTTTTTTATAATAGTGCCAGTTTTTTGACATTCTGCCCTTCCTCTAAATTTTAAAGGTGGGACATGCCAGAATAAATTTAAAGTGATCTAATATGAACACTGGAATGCTCATCATTGCTGCCAGCCCACTGGTCACCATTTTCTGAGATACCACCCATTCATTTCCCATACCTGTTTCCAATTCTTCACTCCAGGAAAGGGGAATGTTATGATTAAAAATAATGGGGAATCCTTCTTTTCAGTGTCCTTAATGGTCTGACTTTTCATTTCCTGCAAATTTACTCTAAAGGGGTAATAATTTTACCACAGCCCAACATTTCCCAACCATAACTCAATTTAAAGTCTGAATTTTGATTCTTAATTCTTAAATCCATCATTGGTTTTATTTCCTCCTTCAGATATAAACAAATGCTTCTATACTTTTGATATGATTGTGTTTTCTTTTCTCTCTGTCCTGCTTTGCTACTTTAGAAATTGAGAATTTTGCTAATAGTAAAAGTCCCACATTTAAGAAAGCAAGACCTACCTACCCATTTTCCAGCCAATCCATCATAATAAAAGCAGTGGTGCTCTTGGAATAAAGCTTTATGAAAAATTGCAACTGGCATGCATCACGAAGTCCAACTGAGACTTCCTTCAAAACAGTTTATTTAGCATCACCCCTTTTATCTCTGCCCACAAAGCTAGGTCAGACTCCAATTTCCAGGCTCCTTGCTAACCTTTCTAATTTGAGTCTCTTTCTTCCTTGCTTGCAATCTGCCCTAGGCTTAGAGCAGTGCTTCCCCACTTGCAGCTGTTAAATGGAAGCATTCAGAGAACTTGAACAACAAAACAAATACTCATGGCTGGGTCCCATCTCTAGATTTAATTGTGCTGGGGTGCAGCCTGGGCACCAGTATTTTTTTAAAGCTGTCCAGGTAATTCTAATAGGCAGCTAGAGTTAAGAACTACTGAAATGAGTCATCTTCCAAACATTTACACCAAGTCTTCTCAGAATATTGGGGTGGCTCCAAATTACCTCAAGTAATCAAATTAAAATACCTAATCCTATGCTTTAAGACTCTGCCAATTGACTAGAAAGGTCCCCTTTCAGAACAGCTTAAATTTATCTCCTTCCTAAAGCTTCTCCAGATTAGTCTCACCTGGCTGCCTAAAGATCTCTGTTCCCAATTCTCTGAGCATTCCAACTGGCACTGGTTTACAAGCCCTTGTACCATAGTTGATTGTGTATGTTATTGTTTTAACCTAGCTTTCATAGATATCTGTCAGAGGCTTTTCCTGTAATCTAAATCTCTCTGAAGTCCCACTAGGTCAATAGACAATCTCAAAATAAACAGAAATGTTATTCTTAGCAGAACTTTCTATCTATCTAAAATAATTATTCCCTGACACAATGACAGTTCATTTTTTAATCACAATTGAAGCCACCAGTGGTACATGTTTGGGGCTGTTTTTTGTTTCTTAGAAAAGAAAAGCTATAAATCTCACTATATCTCCCAGACTCCTTACTACCATTCACTTACTTTAGACCTTGGAATTTGGCTTCCATACCCACCTCTCTACTGAAACTACTCTTTATGTACAACTGACATTTTCATTCATGAGTTCATTCACTTATTCACTCACTTATTAGTGATAAAGGCTGGAGACAAAATAATTATCCAATTATTAATAATTACAAGTACTTATGCAATATCCAATTATCCCTTTCTAACAGTGGAGAATAATAAGCCACCTAAAATACTGGTAAGTGCTATGTCAGGAATCTTAACCAAACAATGGAATTGTTGCAGTAAAAGTCTTCGCTTATGTTCAACCAATCCAACTTCTCTGCTGTGATTGAGGAGGGTAATGCCCACAGGCCCACCTTTTAAACCTTTCCTTTGTCTTCTTGATACTATACAACCCAGACACTGGTTTTACTTCTCTGATTATTCCTTCTCTGATCTCTTAATTTGTGGCATCATCTCCTCCTATTTCCTAAAAAATTGTTCCACTAAAAATGGGAGAGAATTTTGAGGGAGAAAGTATAGAAAGAGACGTTTGTTTCTCTCAAAAATCTCACCAAAATCTTAGGGCTCGCTCTTCAATGCTTCCACATCTGTATCTACAGTTCTATTCTCAGCTGAGGCATGCCTTCAATTTCCTGTTGTATATCTCCATCTGGATAAGCCACTCACAGCTCAAATTAACTTATCTAAAATAAAACTCATTACTTCCGCCACCCTACTCTATCCCCTCCTGAGGGTTTCTCTTGTGCCTCCCTTTCTTTACCTCCCTTTTCCATCTCCCCAAAAGATACAGCCTCCTCCCAGGTCCCCTGAAGTTCACCTTCTCAAAGTCATGGGAGTGGATTGTCTTGTCCATTTCCTCCCGCCCTCAGGGAAGTCTTGTTGCCCAATCCCATGTGCACCTGAATGCCAGATGTCAGTCATCTGTGTTTCCACACTGCTTATGGCACTCCTTTCACAAGGTCATTCACCATCATTTTCAAGGCTCCTCTATGTGCCTTTCCTGCCCTACCCCCAACAGGGGCGATTGCTTTCTTCTGAATTCCCACAACATTCTGAGGTGTCATACCCAGTACACATCAGCCATATCTTTCCACACCTCTGTATTTGCAGGAACACCTTTCCCACCTCTACT